AAGCTGCTGGTATACTGTGAGACTTTACAGCTTTACACTGATATTCTGTGAAAGCGTGATCCCTCCCCGGTCGAGCCAACTCATCCGTGCTATAGCTATATAATTAGCACCACATAAAATAACTTCGTACATTCCTATGCTCCTTGATTAGAAACTTGATTTTAATGAATCCAATATTATTATCTTAGAAATTGTGACTTCAAAGTGATTGGTAACTATTAAAACTTATATGGCTTCACTCTGATATATTTCCTCTGCGATAATTTAAACAGGCATTCCTCTTTATTATCATTAAAATTAATTTCGTAAAGCAGCGTTGCTAGTAAGGCTTTTTGTATACTTTAATGGTAACGAAGTTATTTAGTACTTAACCTCGTTGCTACAGTTTTACGACAGCAGGGATTGCTTTGTACAGCACTTACTAGCCACTAAGATATGCGATTATCCTGTATGCTCATTTAATGTTTCTTTATAATATTCTCACTATGTCGCTCGAGGTTATTCAAGGGAATTAATTACGACTGCAATAACAAAAGGTGCCAAAAGAGAATACATTACCTTATTTTACAGGTCTCTTTTATGTTTAAATAACTACAAGGCCCCTGATGAAATCTTGTAAAGTAGGAGAAACAATTATTCTCAGCAGAGGGCTTTTCAAACTAGTCGTATTGATGATGATTACCTGGTGTAGAGTAAATAAGTACAAATCTGGAGTGCCTGGTACCGTAGGAGTTAATGATTTTGTTCCAGAGTGAAAACTAGGAAAGTAAATAAAAACGTAAATTAAGAACGATGATGATACTATTTATAACATTGAAGTAGCAACCGAATTAAAAGTCTTGGTAAATTGGTAAGGTAAGGCCCAGGCAGAAAATTGATCTAATTCTAACCTTTGCCTATCAAGGCGACATACTCGGATTACTGGCGACCGAGTCACCCACACATGACTTGGTTTTGCAACGTAGCAACTTTAAAATGGACAGACTCATCTTTATGATGTGTTCCCATATCTGTATCCGTTTTAAAATACGCTTACAGACGCTCGACAATAATCACTTTAAGACCACACCGATAAAAAATGTTGTAGTTGCAAAAGTCCAATTACTAAACGAACTAACAAACACCAACAATATATTATAAGCTTCAATGTTATGTTAACGCAAAGATTGTACGCTGTAGTGGCAAGGAAAGAATATCCCCTACCCGATATCATCTCGTGGGTTTAGTAACAGACGACAGAGGGAAACGAATCAGGAGCTGGGCAGCAGGGTGAGGTTGTCTGGAAAAGTATGAAGAAGATACGATTGATGAAGACAATGGCAATATCTTGACCAGGGTGAAAAGCACAATAGATACACACTTGTCCTGTTTAAGCTTAATAAGGTGGTAGAGCCATGCTGCAGCTATATTAGTAGTATAGTTGTAGCACAAATGGGTCTGCTCGACCGAGAAAGGGCCACACTCTCACAAAATACCAGCGTAAAATGGCAGATTGATACTGCTGTTATTCGTATGGTGAGTTGGTGAGTGTAGAGAAGCGGAGATCCATTTTACTGGAAAAGAGGCATTCCATCTTAGTACTCACGGGTGATGACGCATCTGCATTTTGATTCTTTATTGAGGATACATGTAGATGTCTATGGGTCACAGCAACCACTTATCATCAGGTGGACTGTGTGCTCGTCTGTCACCCTATCCTATAAAAAAAGGTGATGTGGTTTTACGTGGTACGCGAGCTTGAGCTCTTTCTTGAAGTAGTAAGCAGTAGTCGAGCTCTTTTTCGAAGTATTGGGATGCACTGCGTTATTTGTGCTATTAAGTATTGACTTATTAAAGGTGTCGTAACTACTCACGCACGGGTCGCATGTAACGGAGTCAGCAGAAGCCGTCTGACACCAATTCGCTGAGACATAAGCAACTAAATCAGCGATTATTTTGTTTATTCCGTTAATTAGCTATTATTATAAGAATCATACTAGATCGTACCTAATACGTTAGTCTCTCTATGTCTCTTGCTGGTTCTTCCGAGGATAGAGTACTTTTTCTAAATTAGTGATAAAAGCGAAAATGACTTGGTTCAATAATTAATTACAGCATATCAAAGATCACTGCTGAACATAGGCCTCCTCATAGATTAATTTAAAGTAGATATTTGCCATTTATAATCTACGTGGACGTGTTCTGTCCTTTCCGCCGACTTTTTGTTCTACAGAAAATCCTAAAATTCGACATAACTATTATTTATTCTGTGATAAAACAAAATTTGAGTCACTTATCGGGATAAATACTCCTATCACTCAAGTTGGAGCAAGCAATATACATTTACAAACGTTCACTCGAGTGACTCAAGTTTGGCATTGGTATACGTATGTTGTTTTTGATATGTAATTGCAAACACTTTTGTATCGCGATCTTCGAGTGTTGAAAAATATATTTTATTTATATTTCCTCATGTATCTGCATGAGAAGAATGGAAGGGGAGGGAGTGACAAAGTAAATTTATGATGCAGAAGTGAATGACAAAGTCGGCAAGGGACGCCCCAACCGAAGACAGAGTTTTATCGATCTAATTGTGTGATATATGGTTGAAAAGAAGCAGGAGAGGTGTGTCAGGCACGTGCCAAATGGAAATCGTAATCTCTGCCTTCCCCTCTGGGTGACAGGCGCTATAGCTTAAGTTATGTTATATACAATACTACATCTACTTGTACAACAAAGCGTTTTTCCGACATAAAGTAATATGTCTGTAGTGGAGGCGAGTCTTTTTTGTTGTGCTGCGGAGCGAAGTTCAAGACAAACTGCACGCGTAATTGCAGCCCTGAGCGGCGTCCAACTAATTGAGAAGCGAACACTACGCTATCTGCAGTACGTACAGAACGGCAAATTACGGCTCGTTAGTGGAACTAGCGCCATGACGAAGTAATGACTCGTAATAAAGACATATATTTTTGCTAGATTAGAAGGCGAGTGGGACGCCGGAGGCTGACGAATAATCCCACTAGGAAACCTCGCCCAGATCCGCGACTTTTTGTATGTTTTTTAAACTTATCAAACAAAATGTAATAACATAACAATGAGTTTGTTTATTTTCAGTGCCTTGTGATGTAGTGCGCTAGAGAAACTATAACTGTATTACGTACCGTGGGTGCCTTCAATGATGTCCATAATAATGTTTCGTTATTATAGTTTAGTTTATGTTATTTTACTAGCAATGCTCACAACATTATTATTAATTACCAAAGTTCTTAGAATTTACGCGGTTTATATACGTAGTAGAGCCATGTAGCAGCTATATTAGTTGTATAGTTGTAGCACGAATGAGTCGGCTCGACCGGGGAGGGACCACGCCCTAAAAGAATACCAACGTAAAATAGCAACTTAACACTGCTGTGTTTCGTATGGTGAGTGTAGAGAACCGGAGACCCTCTATACTGGAGACGAGGCATTCCAACTTAGTCCTCACGGGTGACAACGCATCTGCATTTTTTTTAAACCGTTTCCTCCACACCAGGATTTTCTCCTGTGTCGTAGAGGCAGTTTACAAACATAAATTGCACAAGGACAAACATCCAGACCCGGAACAATTATTTATAGGCTATACAAATAATTGTTCTGTGCGGGATACGAATGAGTTGGCTCGACCAGGGAGAGACCCCGCCCTAAAAGAATACCAACGTAAAATAGCAGCTTAACACTGCTGTGTTTCGTATGGTGAGTGTAGAGAACCGGAGACCCTCTATACTGGAGACGAGGCATTCCAACTTAGTCCTCACGGGTGACAACGCATCTGCATTTTTTTTAAACCGTTTCCTCCACACTAGGATTTTCTCCTGTGTCGTGGAGGCAGTTTACAAACATAAATTGCACAAGGACAAACATCCAGACCCGGAACAATTATTTCTAGGCTATACAAATAATTGTTCTGTGCGGGATACGAACCCGTGGCCTTTAGCGCTGCAACTCAATTGCTAAGCCACAGCGCCACGGAGCCGTCATTTTGATTCTTTATTGAGGATAGATGTAGATGTCTATTGCTCATAGCAACCACTTACTATCATGTGGACTGTGTGCTCGTTTGTCACCCTATCCTATAAAAAATAATATTTAATACAGATTAAGTACCTGTTATTATAATGTACTGTTGATTATTTGTCTTATTAAATTCACCTAACAACATTTAAGAATGTTAAAAGTGGAATCAGAATCAGAAGATGGAAACGGCAGTGGGCTGGCCTTATAGCTCGTAGAACTCTCAACCGAGGGTGATGAATGTTTCTTGAGACTGCTGCCTCGTACTGGCATCTGGTAAGTGCAGTTTTAGGCGAGCCGTAATTAAATGGCGTGAAGAGTTAATGATGATGGTGCAGTGAGTCGATAAATGCATTTTTAGAATACTAGCGTAAAATAGCACGAAAGTGCACTTATATGATTCATAATGTTGATAGGACACAGTTGTCCTACCGGCTCTTGTCCTAGCTTCGTTTTGGTTTAGTTCACCATTGACTGTAACGTATTATGCGCGTTTAACAACTTCTAATCGAATCGGGAAATCGGGACACACTTCTATTCAAATGACGCTAAGTATTAATATGAGAAAAAGGTTGCGAATTGATCGTAGGACCCAGTCAGCCTCACAAAAATAGCTAATTAATCTGACCGCATCGAGTCCGAGAGTATCGTGGCCTGCCTTCTGATTTTTAAAACCAATAAAAAGTACAAAATCTTAATTAAGAAAGTAAAACATGTTTTTGAGCAAGAATTAGAATTGGCAAAACAGCAACCTAGGTACCGTTATTTGGAAAATGTTTAGATTAGTCCAACAAGCCGTATGCTCGTTTGCCCCTCCTATAAAAAAAAAACATTTTAACCTTAACATATACGATTGTTTGCAGTATTTAAAAAAGTACATACTACTTAGAGACAATTTCATTCCATATTAGATAAAGGCGCGACTGTACGTGCAAATTGCGATGTTTGTCAAGCAAGGTGCATAAAAGCGAATGAATCACCGATTGTTGTTGTTAGCGCCGCTGACTAACCTCGCCGGACTCCTGACTCACTTGGCCTATCTTTCCACCTACGTGAAAAGGCTGTATGTCCGAATTAGCGACTTGAAGAACAAGAAACGATGTTTAGGTAAGCATTGAGCGCGCTACTGGGCACTGAACATTTCTGACATAGCATTCAAGATTTCGATTGATGGTCAATATTTTTTTTATTATACTACACGTATAGGTACTTTAGTTTGTGGCTATTTAAGTTTGTCATCCTCATCATCACAATTGTTATAACCCATCACAAGTCAATAAAGGCCTCTCCCATGGATTCCCACAAGGCACCTTCTTGGTCCACCAGTACGTTTACGCAAATAAGGGTAACATAATCCACCTAATGGTAGGTAAGTCTATACTTGCTTAACAATAAAAATACCATCTAAGAATATCATGAGATATGATATTCTTTGATGATATAACACATAATGAAATCTTAGGTGAAATACCACGTTCAAAAGTATCAGTATAAAGGCTGTCCATACGAAACACTGTAATAAAAATATCGTTAGTGGGTTTTAAATGAAACTAATGTTTACGGATTTTTTGACGTATTTTATGTTCCCGATTTTTCGAGTACTTTACAGCACCCATGGTCACGGAGTGACGATAACAGCCGTAAAAACTAGTCTATTGCTACTGTGATCACCTTCAGTCCCTGATGAGTTTCAATTCGTTGCATTATTTGCAGTCGCACGGAGGAGCGTTGCACAATACGTTCACAAATGCAGTCATGTACGCGGTGCACTCACGTGGGCTCACACGAGAATACTAACGAGGTGAACTGATTGAGAAAGGCTCATCAAAGGACGCCCTGTCCTACTTTAACCTATCGGGCGGTCAGCCAGCCTGTATTAAATGCATATTGCATTGCGAAATAATATTTTTATACATATGAGCGTGCTTTTATGACAGCTTAGACTGAGGCGTAGGACATGAAGTTTTTACTGCAGTTGGAAATTTTTAACACGCTGTCTGGTGATGTTATTGATTTTCACTTAATCGCGCAATGGCTGTACGGATTTAGTGAAAATTATTTAATGCAATACACTTATCAATTCAAAAGGTTATCCGGTCTGCGTTTGGTTCTTGTATACTTCTAGTTTCTCTCTGACTATTGACAGGGCTCCTAATGATTTTTTTTTAATTTTTTTGAAATCCTAGGAACTTTCTTTAGTTATAACGCAGTTATTAGACATTGAGCAAACAAATTTAGCATATGAAATGTATAACATAGCCACAACCTTATGTCACGGAACTGCAGTTGTCCCTCCTTTGCCTAGCTCGGTCGGTTGTGCTCAGCGCGACTGCAATAGATTATAAAAAAAACTTTACCACGCCACGTCACCACTTACCATCAAGTTGGATTTAAGACGAGCCCATTACTATTACCATTACAGCTTAGTTAAGTCCACTGATGAACATAGGCCTTCCTTTAGGCAATCTCAAAATTCCCCCATATCTGCCATATTTGCGTAATATAGCACCTCAATGCTGCTGTGTTTCGTATGGTGAGTGTAGAGAATCGAAGACCCTTTTTACTGTAAACGAGTGCATCAAAGTCCTCAGGGGTGACAACGCATCTGCATTTTGATTCTTAACCGAGGATAGATGTAGATGTTTATGGGCCACAGTATCACCTTATCATCAGATGGACTGCGTGCTCGATTGTCACCCTTATTCTATAAAAAAGAAGTAGCCACACTTGGCAGTATTTGCAACTTGGAGTGGCAACCGCAGTTTTTATTTCCTAGTTGTTACTCGGAAGACGATTCTGCCCATTTCTCGGTTTGTTTTCCTCTGCGTCTTTTACGACACCTATGGGATGAAATGTGATAGTGGATATACTTACACCGCCACTACACGGTATTCGATAAGCACTGACATACAATAATTAAAAAAATAGTGGACCAAAAAGTGTGCATGACGTGTGCACCACGTGTGCGTTGCGACATGTAAAATATAAATCTGTATGGAAGACGCCACACTGATTGCATTCACACGCGCAGCGAGGCTCACACATTCGGCGTGTTCCTTCCATTTAGTATAATAACTCTTACCTCTTATAAACAGATAATTTATCACTCATAAGTTTGTTATTGTCTTTGCCATCAAAACAACATTGGACTGCAACTCAAGTAAATGTGTGCAAGCCGCGATCCTGAGGTCGTTGAGCCCGCACGACACCCACGGACTCGCGACGTATTTTCCGCACCGCCATAAATATAAAATAATATATTTCCCACACCTATCTAATTCCCTCGCCGTCTCTCTGTCTTTCTGTCCGTTCGCATTTTTCTCAGTCCTGTGAGCAGCCATCCAACCGGCGCTTCAGTGGCTTTGACAGTTTATTTATATCCAAATCACTTGTTCTCGCAATTATATTTTGCCTAGAAATTATAAAATAAAGCCGGGTTTTTACAAAACTAGTCAATAATAACCACTAATCACATAATAATAAAAAATAAACATAAACACTCACGCCTGTCACCTGAGGGGTAGGCAGAGACTACGGACTTCCATTTGGCACGATCCTGATACACCTCTCTCGCCTCATTTCACATCCATATACATGTATCTATGTATACATGTTTGTCGGTTAAGGGTAATCTCCATCCTTCTTCAATATATCGCCAATTTGGTCGATAAACTTTCTTCTAGAGCGTCCCTTACCGACTCTGCCGATCACTTCATACATCGCAACATAAATTTGCTTTGTCACTCAGTCGTCATTCATAATTACTAACTATACGAGTGTACAAAACTAGTCTCGACTTTAAACATATGATAACTCACGAAGGACCTTCCTTACGAGTAGCCGCGGCCTCAGTCTTCGCGAAATCTGACATTTGCTGTCAAATTACATTTTACATACTTTTGATTTAGTTCGTATATTTATTTCCTCGAGACTTCTTTCTCGTGAAACGAATTGTTGTCATTAACTACTTTTCTTAATAAGTCGGAAAATCTATTTTTCCATCTTTTGGCAATTATAGATTCATTAATGATTTGTTTTTAATTGAGCTTTATCAACGAAAATAATGAATTAAATGAATATTATCTTTCTTCATTTTCCATATTCATATTATTTTATTCTGCTTTTCGTCTATACATACTCCATCTTTACTCCAAAAAAGAGGCTCGTAGTAGCAGAAGTGCAAAACATTTTAATTTAAAACTTAAATAATTTTAATTATAAGTGGTTTAAAAATAAATTAGTTTTATCTTTCTACATGTCTTAACAGTTGCTTTGTACTCTCTTTAAATAAGATGTTTTTTGTTGTTTATGATACAAATAATTTTTATTTATTTAAAAAAATAATTGGAAGGGAAATAATATAATATTCAGATTTTATAAACAATAAAGCAATAAAATTATGACTTACTTCTTTTTTTTTTAATTTCCGCCGAAGCATACATAGAAACAAGTTTTAATATAGTCGTTATTTTATAATATACCTATCTAAGAGCGTGTGAACTTGACCTAAAGTAACATTTTCCCGTCAGAGCGGAACTGCGGAACTTCGTTACATGTTTATCGGCGCTGATAACGATCGAGCCTCTCGTTGCGAGTACCGATAGATTGTTGCAGAACGTTGAATCGATTGTATTTGCATTGCTAGCGCCGCTATTTTTTTCTGGACTTCCGTTCGTTGGTTCCTATTATAGTTGTCGTAGCATGGAGATTTGATTGTAAAATAGAGATGTAATAGAAATGTATTTGTTTAAAGTTGTTAAGATTCATTAGGTTATTAATATTATTAATATTACATTTTTATTTGATATAGATTATAAGATAGTGTGTATTTAAAATCAATGTTTGAAGTAAAAACTTGTTTAGTATAGTTATGATTTGAAATTCAATGAAACGAAAAAGCGATATCTATAGGATTTAGCCAGATATTGAAATCCAATACATAGATTCGATTTGGTATAGAGTAAGAGTGGTATTTCCTACGCGTAATACTAAATAGGTTGTGGTGTGTTGTTGCAGGCCCGGGCAGGCGGAGCACGGGCACGCGGCGGGCGGCGGCGGCGGGGGCGGCGGCGCGGGCGGCGGGGCGGGCGCGGGCGCGACGCTGGCGTACGGCGGCAAGCCGGCGGGCGGCGCGGGCGCGGGCGTGCCGCAGCCGCGCGCGCCCGCCGCGCCCTACGCGCAGCCCTACCAGCCCGCGCAGTTGCGCCTGCACAACCCCGGCTACGGCTCCGCTGCACTCACATACAGGTACACACACACACACAACTTTTCTACGTAATAGAGTCATACTGCAGCTGTATTGCTGGCTCGACCATCGTAGGACCACACTCTCACAGAATACCAGCATACAGCTTACCGGTGCTGTGTTTCATACGGTGAGCGTCCTTTTCACGTGAAGTCCCTTTTCACTGGAAAACAGGCATTATCTCTTTGTTCTCACGGGTGACGGCCCATGTGCATTATGATTCTTAATTGACGATAAATATAAATGTCTATAGGCCGCAGCATCCACCTTGCTTGTTCCCTTATCCTATAAAAAATGTACGCACACATACATACATACACACACACACACCTTATACGTTAGTTTCTTATTTGTATTACCTGTCCCAGAAAAGGCTAATGTTTTTCGAGTGTATGTATGTCTATTGCCTTGGCACTCTGTGTAGCCTAAACGACTTCTTGGATCTTTACATATGGGGTGCCATTAGATTCATCTCAGTTGTAGAAGTAACATTGGATATAAAAAAAAAATTACGCAGCCTAGTTTTTTTAATCACTGTTTTAACCTTTGGACTTCTATTAATTAATCCAATCAGGCGTCACATTGCGAATACAGATACACATTATATTAAAGCATTGAATTACGACGACCTTGTGCGACACTTAGATAATACTTCGTAAATCGTAAACTAATTAATCCAGGCAAATCCTAGTTAAATTTATATATAAAGAACAGCGGAGAGCCCCGACAGGTTTTCTTTTAAATTTACTAGGAGAAACCGTCTACTATATTGTTTATGTTTGTAATCTTGAAGAAATAAAACATTTATTTATGTGTAATGTGTACTACGTACTAGAACGGACACCGCAAACAAAATCTGTGCGGCAGTAGGAATTTTCTAGTTTTCAGTTTTGACTTTGACTGTATATATATATATATATATATATATATATATATATATACATATATATATATATATATATATATATATATATATATATATATATATATATATATGGAAAAACGTACACAAAATGTAAAAACAGAAACGCTGAAGAAATTAACGGATTTTTTTTAAGTAAGTGATGTTAGTTTTGTTTGTAAATACTGATGTCCCAATATTATTCCAATAAATAGATACAATAGATACATTACACAGGTGGGATTGTCGTTAAACACTGGCTTATAATAAGTAAAAAAAAATACATGTTTATCACTACATATTGGCTGTATTTTTAAAGACCTCTTATAAGTGTGAGAGACCTCCTGTACCTCTCTAAGCTAGAAACTCGGGTTAGTGAGAAACCTCCATAAAGCGAACGGTCCCTTGAACTCTCACTTATCCAGTTTCGACTGTATATATATTTATACCCAGCTGTTAGAGTAATTACCAATCTTTCACGTATTTCTATCGCTAAACACCAGTGGAGTTAATGTTGAGGTACTATGTGTAAGGGGTAATAGTAAGCTAGTATAATTTCAGGCGTATTAAATTTTTCATATTATACGTAAAGTGAAACGCACCTAATTACCATGTCGCCTTAGATGATAAAAGAAGAATATTTTTATTGTTGACTCGAACACCAATAACTTACGTAAATTTACACCATCATTCCGTCTCGTAATTGAATACGTGACTCAGGACTTCATAAGGACCGTACAGTGACGCTAGGTCGGTGGTCAAACCATTGAATTTAAAATTGTTCTTTTAATTGTGCCGTGGTAGGTCAGGGGCTTAGCGCTCGTCGTAAATTTCATAGAACACGAGCAACCCTGGTTAGATTCTTGCCGGCAGCAATGACATTGTTAATACAAGTTCTGCGAAAATTACGTGCGAAAATAACGTAAACGTGTATCAAGTGCGTGAAGAAAAACATCGTGAGGAAACCTGCATGTCTGAGAAATTAAAGAAATATATTTTGAAGACGTGTCAAGTCCGCCAACACGCATTTATGCAGCGCGGCGCGGCGGACATTTCCTTGCACTAATTCTTCTCCGAAATAAGAGAACTGTGCCCAGACGTACGAATGTATAAATCTGCATGTGTAATGCTAGACTATATAGTCTTACGTACAGATTTAAAATTAAAGTCGTTAACTGCACCGTGAAGTCTCGCTCGCTGTACATGCATAAATTAGATGAGTCAACATTCACATAATATATCCGTATCTTTTTAATTACTCGTAACAATAACAGGAGCTACTGAATTTAAACTGTTGCTCCCGCCCGTTACAACTGAATAACAATGACGCTTAAGTGCATTGTTATGACAAACAATGCGTTAACTCAGCTGTGAAGAAATGGAGAAGCAACATTGCATATATGTTATATGCATACCGTTTCTCATGCTAGAGATTTTTTTTTTTAATATTGTTTATTGTACACTTAGAGAAACACACATCGGACATATTGAACCGTGATAGCTCAGGTCTATTATATAATATGATATTTAATATGTAATTTTTATAACTGTTAAAATAAGTTTACTTTTGATTTAGAACGAGAACCGACAGTAGATATATTTTACATCCGTGAATAAGAGGGAAGTCGTTAATACTGAGTCATTTCAAGTTCTCGAACTTGGCTAAACTTTGAGAAAATACAGGCACTTTCCTGGTCCATTTATATTTCGTGAAGTTCTTTATGTAAGTAATAAACAATTTCTTAAAGTACTAAGAAAATTTGAAGCTGTCATATTTATTTATTTATATCTTATTAACCATATATAACTGGTACAATAGTTGAACTTGATTTTAAGTATTCTATGCCGGTCAACCTTTGGGATAAACGGAAACCTTTAAAGCGGTACAATAATGACAGGAGTCACAAAATATGTGGAATATGTATAATAATCATGATAGTAGTATTAAATGTGCGTACAAAAATTATATATACATACATAAAGTTGCGCCTTTAATCCCGAATTAGCAGCAAGCTAATCGGACAGCGGTTTGGCGAAAGAAATTGGATTTAGATGGAAAATTGTGAAATAAGTGATAATGGCCAGTCCATCGCCAACAAAATCGCACTAATTAAAGTATTAGCATTACCATTACCATAGGTTCGGATAAAACCTCTATCCTGGGAAGAACCGGCAAGAAACCAAGCGGGTGTACACTACAAACTTTATTGAACTGGAAATTTATAGCTCGAAAAACCGATAACCTTAAACTGAAATAAAAACCAAATAACCTGTGGAACTCAGCTTGTCTCAGATGGAGTAACCATCTAATGTCCGTTATTTACACTTTACCTACTTTATTGAAATTTACATCACACTATATAATTGACTTATTTATTTAAATTAAAGAGTCGCCATTTAAACTAAAAATGCAACAGCATTCAACTGTGTGCCAACACGCCGGCCGTCCGTGTATCAATTTACACGTTGTCACGTAATCACCGTGACATGGAAAAGCGATGTGTGCATTAATAGCCTTAGGTAACCAAAGGCTTTTAAAAGAAAGTCTCTACCTATTTATACTTGAATATAGCTTTGTTAACGGATTAGCCAGCTGAGGTGGCAATGGACCGGGCATATAGCAAAACCGACAACCGATGGGAAGGAACACCATTAGATGGAGTGACGACCTGGTAAGATGCAGGAAGTCGATGGATGCAGGTGGCTCGGGACCGTGCTTTGTGGCATTCCTTGGGGGAGGTCTATGTTCAGCAGTCGACTTGTAAAGGGCTGTATAATGATGATGATCATGATAGCGTTGTTCTTTAAATTAGAATAAAACGCAGGAAGTCCTATGTTTTAACGCAAGGGAATCATCATCAGAAATCACGCTTGTCCTGCAGGAATTCTTAAAATACGTCGAACACGAAAGTCTCTAGTGCTCTAATTACTCTTGACAATTAGCTTGTCATGCGCAGTGATATTATAACCTTGTTCTGACTTACCCTACAGGCTGAATAGTCTAGAAGCCTGGGGCGCGAGGAGAAAGTTTAGACGGGCGAATAATATTTTAAGATAACCCGTTGTAAATATATTTAATTTTTAATAACTTGTAGAATATCCATTTTTAACACGCTTTTATTAGCTTCGCCTGTATAGATAGATATCTATCTATCTACGGAATATATTAATGTAATTTTATAAAAAACTTGTAGATAGCCGATTGACTTGAAAATTTGCACTCTTATCAAGGACCGATAACAATACAACAATTAACTTTATCCATCCATATAAAAATAACTTTATCCTAGTATCCTGATCAGGATTGCCAGGATGAAATAAAATAATTATCATCATTTTCATTATCATTCATTTCATTATCATTCATTCATTATCAGCATCATCATAGCTCACGATCAAAGTTTATTGTTTAAGTTTTTTAAACTCTTATAATATTATTATTTCTATGTGTGTTTTAAACATTTTTTTAACAATGTGTGGTTTATTGATAGTCTCGGGCTTTTAATCTGGTTTAAGAGAGTCCTTCCCACAGTACAAGTACCTGATGAATTTGTCATTTGCTGTCAATTTCCATACTTTAGATTTTAGACCACATATTTTCATGGGACTTCTTTCGTGGAACAGATAATAGTTTAAGTCTGTGACTAATTACAAACAACTTTTAGTATGACGGCTAAGATTTAATTAGTCTTGGGGCGACTGCAATGAAATCCGGCCCTGGTAATAGCGAAAAGTTTATGGAGAAATTATCCCTCTATTGTTGCCCTTTCGTACATTTGATGTATATATATATATGCTTTTTTTTTTTGGAAAGAACCGACCTTGCTATAAATTTTTGTATTAAATGCACTATCTGACACGTAAAATGATATCGATGAAGCAGTATATCGAACATTTTCCGAATATACATCATCATTTTTTGATCTTGAATATTAACCGAGTCGCATGATGTAATTATTGATGTATTTTTTCAGAAGATAATTTTACTATACTCTTGCTATATCATCCACAATTTCTGAAATAAATACGTGTAGTTTTTCTATGTACATTTAAAAAAAATTACAAAAAGAAATCCCCTGAAAGAATATACCTGGTAGATTT